TTTCCATTCTAGGAGCTCCTGGGTGGCTCAGTTGGTTAAGCATCTGACTCTTGATTTCTGCTCAGGTCATGATCTCAGGGTTGTGAATTAGAGCCCCCGAGTCAGGCTCCACTCTGGGCCTGGAGCCTGATTAAGATTTTCTCCCTTCCTCTCCCACATGGGTGCACTCTCTCGCATATAACAAACAAACAAACAGTGATTTCCATTCTCTTGGCCTAATTTAACTTTTTAGTTTTAAATTTTTTTTCTGTCCGTTTAATTCTATTTATTAGACCTGAGGTATCTTACCCCATTTACTTAGCAAATGCTACTGTAATTTTGCATCCATTTTTATCAGCCCAGACCTAAATCTATACTAACTTTCAGAGCTTCCACGACTCCCTGAAAAAGTCTACATCAGTTTGCCATCCCTTGTACAGGAGGTGGAAAAGGATGTTCTTATGTTATTATCTAGGTATCTTTCATAGCATCTCTACCTGGGTAGTTGTAACATTATCTGAGCTAAAAACCTAGACAGCTAATATACAGGTAATACTTCAGTGCAAACACATGCAACTCTTTGTTTTCCTTCGAGAATGACAAAAACTAAATTCCTTTAGTCAATGAAGGGAAAGTCAGTTTAAATAATATGTGAAGTAATGGAATTTAATTTTAAATACAAGCAATACTTTGGATCAAGATTAGCCTAATGATGGTCAGAACAGGTTTGACTGACGGAAGAAAAGGCTGATTTATGATTAGCGTATCTGTGGTATAGCTGTGATACTTTAAACCTTCCATTCTTTAGTTTACCCATAGCAATAAAGACTATGTGCCAAGCACACCATATCAGGCACCTTACAAATACCACCTTTAATCCTCACATGCCAAACACCACCAACAATCCTACAAGGTAAAAGATGGATATTATTATTACTGCTTTAAATTTGAGAATATTGAGGTTCAAAGTAGTTAAGTAACTTGACCAAATTCATAGTTTTCTGTATCACAGAGTAGGATTCAAAACAAAGTTTTCTGGCCCAACCCAGACATACGTTGCTTTCCTGTCATTTTGTTTCCTTATTAAACATTTGCTTAGTAATTTCTAAACTTAATTTTTTATTTCAGAAATTCCATCAGTCTAGTGATTAGAACTGTCAATTCCCCACTGCAGTCAGTTTGATTTGTGAGCTCTTTATCTGTGCTATTTGTTTTTTGGGGTTTTTTTAAGATTTTATTTATTTATTTGACAGAGAAAGACACAGTGAGAGAGGGAACACAAGCAGGGGGAGTGGGAGAGGGAGAAGCAGGCTCTCTGCAGAGCAGGGAGCCCGATGCGGGACTCCATTCCAGGACCCTGGGATCATGACCTGAGCCGAAGGCAGACGCTTAACAGACTGAGCCACCCAGGTGCCTCTGTGCTATTTGTTTTCAATCTATTCATTTTCAAACTTCTAATGGTATTCAAACCAGCCAGGTATGGCAGTCAACGCAGTGACTTTTCTAAATGGCTTCTTTTAAGCTGAATCTAAATTAATACAGTACAAAGGTGGTGTTCCTGAGACAAGGTTTGGCAATAACATTGAGGGGCGCCTAGGTGGCTCAATCATTAAGCGTCTGCCTTCAGCTCAGGTCATGAACCCAGGGCCCTGGGATCGAGCCCCACATGGGGCTGGGCTCCCTGCTCCATGGGAAACCTGCTTCTCCCTCTCCCACTCCCCCTGCTTGTGTTCCCTCCCTCACTGTGTATCTCTCTGTCAAATAAATAAATAAAATCTTTAAAAAAACAAAAAAAACTACATGTTTTGAAAGTTGGCTTAATTTTTTTTACAGGCTCTCCTAAAGATTTTGCAAGGGAAATTTTTAGAAAATAAAATTAGGAGAGATTATCTATAAAACAATTCCATTTTAATGGAATGTTTCACATTAAGAAGTGTAATGAAGAGAATCAAAAGGCTGACCATTTTAGGGCTTGATTGTGCTGACACAACATAACTTGGTTAAAATTCAGATTTTGCAGGGGCGCCTGGGTGGCTGAGTCGTTAAGCATCTGCGTTCGGCTCAGGTCACGATCCCA